CACTGGATATATTGCAAGGGGAAGACAACTGCTACTATGGGACTCTTCTACCAACCCTGGAGACCCTGATGTCCAGGACACTGGCACTCCAAAATGGACTGTCGAGGATGACAGCAAACCTACCGGGTGTAATTGTACAGGTAAGCCGATTCTTAAAGTTAGTAGCCTAGGCATATACATCATATATAGCCTACGATGTCTATGATATAAATGTATATGCCTATCCATTAACGGACATTTCTTAATAAATATTCTTAAGATAAATGCATTATGCCTCCCCTGATGGAGCTCTAGTGAGTCGTGTGTCTGAAAACTAGGCTTATTTGTTCTATATAATTTTGTCCTAGGCTATCAGGACGCGATTCGCACCAGTGTTGGAGAGCAGTGAAGCTTTATTGGCTGCCTTGACGTTGCCGAAATTTAAAGTTCGATGGATTGTGGGAGCGGAGCGGAGAGAAGCGGCGCGTGCGCTGCTCATCGCGGAGTGTCGCACTCTACCCCGTGATGAAGAGCCGGCTAACAATAAAAACCGAGAAGCCGCCGCACACAGCAGCGCCAATGAGAATGACTTTTTTTCTTTTGATGAGGAAGAGGAAGACGCAATGTCCATTAGCGCAGACTCGGAGGTATTTAAGTACATGAGATCAGGCTCAGAGTTAGAAGTCCTCAACCGTTTCCCCCGAGTGAAAGCTGTGTGTATGAAATACAACACTGCCACACCATCCAGTGCACCGGTGGAGAGGCTGTTCAGCCTGGGAGGTATTGTGCTTTCCCCCAGAAGAAACAGACTCTCAGATAAACGTTTTGAAAGACTGCTCCTGATGAGGTATAATCGCACATTTTGTACTGATGTGGAATAGGTTGCCTGCCACCCATGCTATAGACATAGCTCAAGCCTATGCCTAATATCCTCTTTTTTTTATCTGCCATCATACTGTGAAGAAGGGTGAGCATATGCAGTGAACATAGCCTTTTAATTCTGATGCCAGTCCTGCTTTAAGTTGTTCTTGATTTTATTTTGGCTAAAATGTCTTTGCTTCCAAGCTGTATTATGCCATTTTATTTTATTTACACAAGCCATCGATATCAAGACATTTTGAAGTTATTCTTTTTCTGTTGGATTTACATGAGGCATGTTTTATTTTGAGACACATGAGCCATTTTGAGGTTATCATGTTGTTCCTAAGGAGCCTATTGATATGATTTGCACTAGCTTTGCACCTATTTTGGGGCTAGCCTGTTTAATGATTATGATTTTATTTTGATATTTGATATTGATAGCCCAATGTTTTGTTAAGTGCTCTGTGGCATTTTTTTATAATAAAGAGCACAAAATAAATATCTGTTATGTCCTCCATATATGTAGAACTTTATGTAAGCCTACACATTTAGGAACAGAGATGGAGTTCTGCCCAAAGTCGAGCAACATAAAAGTAACGTAAAAGTAACGAGTAACGTAAAAAGTTACTTTCCTTGCAGGGTAACTAAGTAAAGTAAGGGATTACTTTTTTAAAGAAGTAACGAGTAACGAGCAAACACTACTTTTTAAAAGTAACTTCCCCAACACTGATGGCCACGCAGTAGCTACGTAGTGAGGTGACAGCAGCTTTAGGAAGGGAATGGCCGACCACCAGTCTAGACTTGAAAAAGTCCATGTCATCCGCTGCTGCGGCAAGGATGTCAACGTCGTGCGACTTAATGACATTCAAGTAACACACATACACAGAAACATTATGGTTAGAAATGGCCCAAGCATGTTCTCTGCGATACATCTTGTGTCAGTGCAATAATACCAACAATATGGTTTGGTAATATCAGTGTTTTAATAAAAGAGCACATGTTCAATGTGAAAAGTGACTGTAGATAGATTACTTCAGTTGCAATTTGGTTACTATATATATTTATAACAAATAATAATAATAATTTAAAAATTAAAAACACCTTGAATTTCAGGGGGGGCTCCGTTGGCCAAGACAATGGTAGGGGAAACACTGAATATTCATACCCCTTTGATGGTTCAATGTGCTGGTAGGTCAGAGGACTGTCAGCCACTAACAACCCCCGACTCTCAAGGCGTTGGCACAGGGCGACACAGGATGCAGCGTCTTTACAGAACGTCTCCAGCTCAGAGAACTTCCACACCCTGCCCTCTCTGTTGAAGTGCTTCTGGGAAGTCTTGGCCCTCACTTCCTCCATCTCTCGCTGCTCCGGGGTGTGTTCTTTCATGCACACCCTGTGCAGGTGAGTTCTGATTGAAAGCTGAGGGGTGTTGCAGAGCAGGCAGAACACAACCCTTCTCTCCATTGCCCTGTGAACAGAGAGGGAATGGGAGAGAGAATGAGAGAGAGAGACATAGAGAGATATATTATTTAGTATAAATACAAAGGCTACTTATTACCTCTCAGGCGCGCTCGTCGCCATCGCATCCATATTGAAATGATGGCTCTTCAGCAGACACCCATTTTATTATATCCCCAGCCGGGCTTGTTTTTGTGGACATTGAAGCCCCAAGAGGGGTGGACCATTTACAGTCATGTGTCAAAACACTTCATCATACCCCAGAAATCTCCCAGCCTGGACTGGTCAGGGTCATCTGTACCCCCAAGCTTCCCTGGCCTGAGATGGCATGACTTTTAAGCATTACTTTGCACTATGCCAAATGTATCTGACAGCTTTAGTTACTGTACATATTGAAGTGAGTGGCTAATATATTGTCCCTATATTTTTGAATGTATACATTCAAATAACTTGCTAATATAAAATGTAAATCAATGTCCTGAATGTTTTCCTATCTGACCATGGCTGTCCTCTGTCTCCTGCTATCTGTATATTTTGCAAAGTCTATTGGCGCGTTTCCACTGTAGGCCTCGCTCGGTTTGGTTAGGCCTTATCATTATTATTATTAGGCTCGGCTCTTCCATTGCAGTTTAGGAACTGGGGCAGTTACTATAGTAACGCAGTGTAGGCGGAGCCGTGACGTCATCTTCAATGAGAGCCCCAGAAAAACAACACAGCCGTTAGCTCTTAGCACTCAGAGCTCACAGCTCCTCATATCTGTTCAGAAACTAGACAAAAGTTAAATAAGTACAAACCACAGACTGCCTGTGTCATGGCGAATACAGTCGCTGCTTTATTTATGTCTGTATAGGCCGTTGTTGTGAGTGTGGACGGTCGGAGCATATATACCGTTAGCTTAGCCAAGCTACATTTAGAAAACACGCATTTTAAAAGGTGTTTCTCTGCCGTCTGTCTGCAGACTTGTCAAAGCATTAATTCATGGTTTTTACTAACCGGTATCAGTATGTTGTTACTTCGGCATCATTTTGAAACGTGTATTACAATTAAATCACGGTCAAATATGTTCATCTTGTTGTAGTTGTAGCCCCCTTGCCAGCGATTCTCTCTAGTTTAGCATACTCAGCCCGACTCAGCCTGGTTGTTCCTGGCCCTACAACCACGATTTAGTCGGGCCAGAAAAAAGGTGAAAAAGTAGCCCCGGGCCAAAACTAGGCCAAGTGGAAACGCAACCAAAAACGGGCCCCGCTCGGCACGCTTAAAGCGAGCTACCCGCTGCAGTGGAAACGCGCCATATCTCTGCTCACGCTGTTGCGTCGGCGTGTTGCACTGGAGCCAGACACCGCAAAGACTTCAGCCGAGCACGTACGAACTGCGCATGCGTGAGTGGCAATAACTCTCCTTACCAGCAGGCGGCGGTAGTGTGTATTCGTCATTCAAAACAGGCAACAACCGGAAAACAGAGAAGAAGAACAGATACGTGATATTGGGTCCTTCTCACTTCGGTTAAATGGATTCCTTGCGTCCCTCACTTGCGTTGTTTCCCTGCGACTAGTCCCTCCCACCAGGGAAGCATGGAGGGACGCAAGGAAACCACGAGAAGCAGGGAAATTAGTTTTAAGAGCAATGGGACGTCCTTTCCTCCGGAGCATCACGTGAAGCGACGTGTGATGACGCCGCACAGCTGATCGTCTGACAGCAGCTCTGTCCCCGTTATTTTCACACTCTGTTAGTACACATTTACTGACACAAACATTTGTATCATCTGTTGTAGACCCAAATAAATAAAATAAAATAAGAACTAATTCTCAAAAAAGATAAACGCCATTCTTAAAATGTATAAACGAACAATAGTTTGATTAATATTGATTAGAGTGCACAATAGAAATACATAATGGAGAGAAGAAAAAGAGATATGTTATCTATCAAAACCCAGTTAGATTAACATTCATTGGATTGCACACTTTGTGTGTTTGTGTGGATATGTAGCACATTAACATTTTAAATAGCACTTAATGACTGATTGAATGGAAATGACAATAAATGAAAATGTAAAACGAAAAAAGCGATCATGAAAATGTTTCCAAAAAATGAATAAAATGATTTTTGACCACTTTGTTGTTCAGATATATCACATATTTGTAACTAAATTATACATGAATTGAAACAAAACACGGTATAAACTGAGGAGTGACTCCCATGAGGTTCATGTAATGACTAGCAATATAGGATTTATTCAACAGCGGTAAAGCATTAAGTTGCTAAATTAACGTACACTGAACTGTTACATTACATTACATTGCATTTAGCTGACGCTTTTGTCCAAAGCGACTTACAATAAGTACATTCGACCAGGATGACACAACCTTGAAGAAAACAGAATCATATAAGTACATCAGGTTTCATAGAGCCAAACATTTCAAGTGCTACTCCATTGGCTTTAGGTAAGCCAGTCCTTTATTAGTATAAAAGTGCTTCGTTAATAGTTCTAACGCTCGAAGTGGAGTCGAAAGAGATGAGTTTTCAGTTTGCGCCGGAAGATGTGCAAGCTCTCTGCCGTCCTGATGTCAATGGGGAGATCATTCCACCATCTTGGAGCCAGGACAGCAAACCCACGTGTTTTCGCCGATGGGAACTTGGGCCCCCCTCGCAGCGAGGGCGCAGCGAGTCGTTTGGCTGATGCAGAGCGTAACTGTAAAACGTACCACTATTTAGGAAAGGACCTGATCAGAAGGATTGACTAGTAAGACAGCAAAGAGGTGGAGGAGGTCTCTGTCATGTACAACCATTGGTAGATGTTACACCTGAAAGAAAGATAAGGAAATAAGACAACACAGGAGGACAAACATCCTCTTAAGTAAAAGACCAAATCATGTCAAGCTTTAACCTGAGGCTGTTTTTTCAGTCTTTACAATGCACTGTTGGAAATTACATTCCAAAAGCTAAATTCAAACTCAATACCATAAATAACTGGGTACCAAAGTGCTTTACCTGATAGAACACGTTCCACACGGAGCAGCAACCATCCGGCTGGGCCGTATGCTGCATATCATCTCCTCCCTCTCCACTGTTTCCAGTAGATATCTACTGCCTCTGTCCAATAAAACTGAAATGCCCCAAAACAATCATATTTAAAAAGTTAAAAAACAATATCTTGCTTTTGGCATTCAAATGTATCTCACCTTTTTCCTGGATGTCAGGAAGACGTTCCCTTCAAGTCCGCAACCAGTCATAGGAGTTCAAATGCAAAGCCTGAACGATGACAAGAGCGAGACTTACATTTTACAAGATAAGTAATACCAGAGCAGTGTTTAGGACATGCAGAGAACAGATCAAATCCCCTGACAGGCTCACGCACTTTGGTGATGTCCTCATCTGATAATGATGTTTCATTTTTAGAAGCAAAGTAACATTACTCAAGGTATATGTTGGACCCAACTCATGTACAGTATGTTTTGCATCTCCTCAACAATGGTCTGTATAGTTGAGTAGAAACAAACTGTCCCTACAGTTTCAGGTAGATTAACAAAGAAAAGTTTGCAATGAAGCACAAAACCCCTCTTTGTATTAAGCTAGCTGCCATAGAAAGTACAGCTTAACATGCTAACCTGGTAGAGTTAGCTAACGTTAGCTAACTTCATGTCCAACTAAAAACCTCTAACGTGCATTACATTGACGATTTTAAACACAACTTAACTCTCAACTTGTAAAATAACGTTAATTTAACATACCCTTAAATAACTACATCACATTTTTCAAGGGCAACCCAAACTGCAGAAAACGTTAGCTGCTAACTGTTGTTAGCTAAGACAGCTAGCTCGTAACAATAGCCTCCTAGCAAACGTAAGGTTACGTTAACATTAACTTAACGTTGTAAGAAAGCAAAACGAACCTTCGAGACATATTTTACTCTCAGACTGGGTGTAATTGTGTAGCGTTGCTTACCTCCAGAAGGACTTTTAGCTGTTTCCCAGTAGAGACTAGAGAGAGCTGTCAGAGCGGTTGCTCTCAGAAGAGCAGCATTGGGCGGACCAGATAAGACCAGATAAGACCAGAGAAGAACCAGTTAAGCACCAGAAAAGCACAAGAATGGTTCTTGAACCGGTTTGGTTTATTGGCAGTTTGCAAACCACTTAAGAGTACTGGAGTGTGAAACAAAAGCTATTGAGTCAGTGTTGTGGTGCTGTTGCTTTGGTCTGGATCTGTGAGCTAACCACGCCCCGTTCATTTGCATATAAGGAATGGAAATGTCTCATCATGAAATACAAGTCACATGAAATAAATAAATGCGCCATTATGAAATACGAGTCTCTTGAAATAAATAAATGCGTCATTATGAAATACAAGTCATCTGAAATAAATAAATATGTCATTATGAAATACGAGTCTCTTGAAATAAATACATGTGTCATTATGAAATACGAGTCTCTTGAAATAAATAAATGTGTCATTATGAAATAAAAGTCTCTTGAAATAAATAGTGTCATTATGAAATAAAAGTTCCATGAAATAAATAAATGTGTATTTAAATGTACATGTATACATATTTATTGCCTAATTTATTTATTTTAGAATTTATTTCATAGCCATATTTATATATGTATTTATTTAATTATTTATGTATTTATTTATTTATTTAATTTTGGCTTAAATGGCATTCCATACAGAACTACTACAGAGAGCTGTCACTATGATAAAGTAGGACTAGGCTAGTGCAAATATAAACTATTCCTAAAAACACACTCACATATTACACATACATGCGCATAGTTAGCCATGTAAAATGAAAATGTTGCTTGCCTTCAGTCCTGTAGGAGTCTGGACGAGCACCTTCAGAGCCATATCGACACAAGCCAGCCAAATCTTCTTGCTTCAGGGACCAGCAAGGAGGCCATCGGCAACTTCTTCATTCTGATCGACAAGAAGCGCATCCCCTGTGAGGCTACCACTTCCTTAACAGCAATTGATGAACTTTTTAAGCTTCACTTTGTCTTAGGGACTAGCTATGATCCAGCACTCAAAAGCATGTACACATTTCTGCAAACAACTGTCTATAACATAGATTTGTTTTGTACTGAAACACTGGGTGTGAGTGTGTGTGTGGTCCAAAAAGGTTGTTTGTTGCCTGACCTCAACTGCCACAGAGGGTTATTTATATACATTTTTGCTGTTGGACAATATTGAATGTTGGTTTAATTGAGTATTGGGAGAATGTGTCAGTCGACTCTTAAGAGACATGGAAAGTTTATTTGTTGAGCATCTTCATGCCTTTTAATGTTGTTAAGCAGGATAGTCTTTCAGTCATCAAACCTGATGCACTGCAATTTCATAAGCCTTTTGATTTGCAAATGTCTGCAAGTGCCAATGACACCATTTTTTATCTTGTCTTAGACAGCTATGTGCTGTAATTTTTATTTCTCCCTCTGGCATTTTTTTGTTGTTGTACTGAAACACTGGGTGTGTGTGGTCCAAAAATGTTGTTTGTTGCCTGGCACGGCAGGCAACAAACAACATTTTTGGACCTCAACTGCCACAGAGGGTTATTTATATACATTTTTGCTGTTGAACAATATTGAATGTTAGTTGAATTGAATATTGGAATAATTTGTCAGTCTTAAGAGACATGCCACCATTCAAATAAAGCACTTGTCATATGCTGATATCTGGAATGATTTATTGGTCATTGTAACTTTTAACACCAGTTTGTTGTACATCATAATACCAATACACGACATTTGACACTAGATTAGTGTTCATTTTGAACTCCCAGAGGGTTGAGGCTAATGCAAAATGCAACACCAGTATAATGTGCATTCAACACTAGCTCAGTGTACATTTCTAACTCTTAAAGGTGTTAGATGGGATAAATTATCACTACTGTAGTGTTACTCTACACCAGGACAGTGTACAATTGCAACACTATTAGTGTACATGTTTAACTCTTAAAGGTGTTAAATGGGAGAAGATCTATCACTACTGTAGTTTTATTCTACACCAGGACAGTGTAAAATTGAAGCTGCAGCCAACACTGTTAGTGTTGTTATCGGCGTTGGTGTTCAGTGTTGGTGTTCACATCTTACTCTTAGTGTTGGTATAGTAACACTATGATAGTGTTATATTGTCAACACTTTGGAAAGTGTTAATTTAACACTTTGCTGGTGGTTTCAATATAAACTCTTTCATAGTGTTAAAATTAACTACATGGGTGTTGCATTTTAGATTTCAAATTTGCTGTGTATAGGATAGTGGGCGGCGGGTGTAGCCACCTTTATATACTGTGGGCCTGCGTGCGCATTCAGGTAGGCTCGCCCCGATTGGCCGGCTACGTTTACGTAAACTCAGTAGGTGAAAGCACGCACAGCATGATAGAGAGTAGTACCCATAGAGTCCAGTAGAGGGCTCCGCCTGTGCTTATATAACTAGGGTTACAATACGTTCTATTGTTCTATCTACCAATTCTAGGAATCTCTGTGTGTGTTTTTGTGGATAGAAGAACAAGAAGGCTATTGGTCTAGCAAACACATGTACTGTATGTTGATTAACTTGTCCTGAATCGGCAGGTAAGCTCAAAGTTGCAACTACTGAAGCTGAGCCACACCTCAGAGAGAAAAAGTATAAGTGAGGCAACAACACATGTGTAGCTGGCATGTGCATGATGCAACTTTCATGTTTGTTAGTTGATGCAATAATGTAACTTAAAGTTAATAAAGCCCTATATCTAATATTCTGATCTGGCGCTGCTCGCACTAGTACGTCTCTCTGAAACTTGACCTTTGCTATCAGTTAGCTGTCAGCTATTCAATACCCATATAAAAGCACATTTCATAATGAACTGGCCTGAACATGTGTTTTTACATTTGTTTTTCCATAGATAAATGGTCCAAATGTCTATCAATTTTAACACTAGAACCGCCAACGGGTACATTTTACCCGCAGCTGTTTTTTGATTGTATGTAACTTTTTTTCCATAGCATATTAAAGTCTCCCAGTCCGTGACTTTTCCTGAAAGTGTGTTATGTAGCACCCTCTGTTGTTAAAAATTGTCAATAGGAAGTCAGATTGAAAAAATCGCCAACAAAATTGCCGTTTATACCCATATCCGCCAGCGGGTAATATTCACCTCATAGAAAATGCAGCGTAAACATGACGTGTTGCTATAGCAACGCCTTTTGTCTACTGCGGTTCCTTATAGATATATTGATAGATAGATAGATAGATAGATAGATAGATAGATAGAGAGATATATATATATATATATATATATATATATATATTGATAGATAGAGAGAGATAGTGTAACATCTTGGAGAATACAAGATCTTGGATGATTGAGCTCACGTTGAGGACGTAATGCATGTGTGTAGGTTACGTGCCAGTTGAATAAAGATGGACACTCGGAATGAGAGAAGTAGTCCGCGTCGTCTGTTAATGTAGACAATTATATGTCAATAGAACAGAACATTACAGATGGATCGATAGATAGAGAGAGAGAGATAGAGAGATTTGTACCTAAACAAAAACACAAGTCTAACACCAAGCGTTTAAATCAGCACTGGTAGTGATATTTTATACTTCATGCTATCAGCACAAACTATAATATGAAAAACTGAGAGTCCACAGATTCTATTGGTATAAATGTCATCCCTGTGCGATCAAAACTCACTGTTCTGTATGATAAATAAAAGAACATTGTACCTTGCAAATCAATAGCGGGTACATTTTACCCGTTGGCGGTTTTAGGTATACAGCGACCTCTGGCGGTTCTAGTGTTAAGTGTGATATGTTTAGTATACAGCTTCAGCGAGCTAATTAACACAATAGGCAAGTTACTATTTGCAGTCGAATTTTTCAAGGGTATCATTGTTATTTCCGAATGTCTTAACTCTTAAATTACGTTATATATAAGATATTTCCCGAGTAGCGATGTAGCTAGCTAGCACTTATCTTTACACAATGTTTCGTACGGGTAAAAATATACATTTTAAGACAAGATGATAGTCGCCAGCGACGTGCAGTCAGGGGAGGCAGGGGAGGCAGAGCCTCACCTGTCATACTCCAATGTAACGGAAAAACAACTAAAGAAAAACTAAATAGTAATAATAATAAAATGTCTTCACTGTTCTGTGTTGTAAATGTGATTTATGTTTGATTCCAATCGCTTTTTATAGTCGAAATCAGTAAATTTGCAGAGCTCCGCTACAACTACGGGTAGCGATGAGGTGAGGCAAGGGACGCGATGAGGTGAGGCAGGGACGAGCTCTGCCTCTCTTAAGCCCACAGTAACTGGCTGGAGCGCGGGCACTAATTTAACGCGGGCACTTATTTTGTGAGCGCGCTCCAGCCAGTTACTGTGGGGTAAGGTGAGGCACAGATGAGATCTGCCTCACCTCAGAATGCGTTACCCCACAGAAACTGGCTGGAAAGCGGACCCTAAGCGCATGCCTGCACCATCTCACTGTATGTCACCAATGTAATGTTTGTAGATCCCTTTATTACATTTATCCTCGCCATCCATAGTCTCTAAATAACTTATTTCACGTATATATTATATTTAGGCTCGCTGGTCTCATCATACAACGGCAGGCAATGAAAAAAGCACCAGGGGAGGCAGCCATAACCTCTGCCACACTGAAGGGGGCGCACGTGAGCCCACAGGTTATTGTTGCTACTGTTATTCTACGCAGAGACAGTAGACGCAAACAACAAGCTAGACTTTTGAAACTAGAGGAAGATAAGGAGGACTTTTACAAAAATGTAATAGAGATTGTTGTCCAGAAGGATAGCATGGACTTAATCTTCAAGTCAAGGTAAGCCCACAATTGTAATGAACATGGGATCTTACTAAGAAAGAACAATCCAATATTTAGATTTTGGGTATCCTTTTGTTAAACGGTCTGTTTAAAATGAATCGAAGCATCAGACTAAAAAAGCTTTTGAAAATAACCGAATATTTCGATTAAGGTAAAAATATAATATTTGTAAATCTGACTCTGAAAGAGTCAGTGCCTCACCAGTAGGGATGGGTATCGTTTGAAATTTATCGATTCCGATTTCGATTCCGGTTCTGCTTATCGATTCCGGTTCTTATCGATTCCCCGTTTCGATTCCAAAATTGTAAAATAAAGAGGTCAAACGTTTAGATAACAAAAATATATTTATTCTTAAAAGCTTTAACTGAAATTGTTACTAAAAAATATACATGCAATACAAATGTATTGCACAATAGCTGTGCTTTATTTTAACTGAGCTA